ACATAAACACAAATGATCGTGGTGAAGATGATGATTAAATTAGGATTAAAAATCGAGAGCCGGGCTGCATTTCCTCCCGTTCGTTGTTGGAGACGGCGGGCTTCCTGATGTTTTTTGTACAGTAGTTGTGGACTTAACAACATTATTTTGTTAAATAAAAACATGGAGATGTTTTGTAAATGATTACATGTCTCTTATTTAGCACAGAGTATGATCCTATCCGTGACATATGGATCTTAACAATGATCCGCTATACAGTAGTACCAGACATACATCTACCGTACTGTATCTGACTTTATTTCACATGAGCTCCAGTGTGGAACCCCACTGCACCCCCTGGTGGATCAATGATCCATTGCAGCTGGCTTCATTATAATTACATTTATTTATCAAGGGGGCGGTCTCAAGTCACGCTGGAGGTTTTCCTTTGAGCGAGGGCAGACCCCTTGCCGGCCACGGCCCTCGCGTTTCAAACTGTCTGAAATGAGGTGTTACATCTGTACCCAATTTGCAAGGGATCAAATAATTATTTCCTCCACTACTAACAGAGTGAAAAGCTGAATTGTCTTTAAGAAGAGACTGTCTTCTTCATCTTCCTATTTGAGGATTAAGCTTGTGTTCACTTCCCTCAAAACATTGATCCTATCCTCATTCTGCACAAAGGTTGTTATTACTGTCCACACAATGCAGCCTTGTGGTGGCTCATAGAGCCACAAACAGTCCTGCCACATCTGGTTGCTCAGTTTCAATGTTTAACTGATCCCTTTTTTAGGAATCCTTCAACAACGTCAAACAGTGGCTGCAGGAGATCGATCGCTATGCCAGTGAAAATGTCAACAAGCTATTGGTTGGGAATAAGTGTGACCTGACGACAAAGAAGGTGGTGGACTACACAACAGCCAAGGTAAAGCTGGTGTACAGAAACCTTCACTCTCCTCTCTTGTAGTGAGTCTGTGTCTCTGCTTTAGTTTGACATTTTGGAAGATGTCTTATTTAAGTTAGCCAAGAAGAGGGGCAGAGCAGAGGGTTTGGAAGTACACGCTGCTCTCTACTTCAGCCAAAGGGGATACATACATTGGCAAAAAAAAGTACCGGAACCCCTTGGAATTTCCTGGTTTTATGCATGAATTTGTCATAAAATGTGACCTGATATTCATGTACGTCACAGTTAAAGACAAACACATTGAGCTTCAAGGTCCCGTATCATGCAATATGCACTTTTTGATGTCTTTTATACATAGTGTCCCCAGTGTGTAGGAGACTCGCAAAGTGTCAGAAAATAAAACCCTCTCTCTTTTCCTACTTACCCACATCTCTAAAAACGTGGTACAACGGAGCTGATCCAGATTTGATCTGGTCATGACAACATTACAAAATGTTGGGCTGGCTTTACACCCACGGCCCTATCAGAAATGTCGCTATTTGTCGCGGTCTGTGTTTACACTAGCAAGCATCGCTAACAGTCAGAGCTAACACAGGGTGAACTATAGGCCAAGTCTAAAGGCTGAGTCTAAAGCTTAGGTGTTCCTACCTGTTTTTGCTATCATGCAGGGTCATGTAGTGTTTAAATGTGTTATTACTGTTCAGTAATCATATAATGTAAAGTAAAAGCCTAATTTATATCTACAATCTGTGCTCTGTGCTCCTCTGCTATGTGCAGGAGTTTGCAGACTCTTTGGGCATCCCCTTTTTGGAAACTAGCGCCAAGAACGCCACCAATGTGGAGCAGGCCTTCATGACCATGGCTGCTGAAATCAAGAAGAGGATGGGCCCCGGGGCCACAGCCGGAGGAGGGGACAAACCAAACGTAAAGCTTACCCCCGGCACTACTGTCAAACCATCGTCAGGAGGATGCTGCTGAGCTCTTGGCTCCCCCCTTGTCCTCCTTTATCTGCAGGCCTGTCAGACTGTCTGCCATGTCCTCAAACTCCACTGTGTCTCCCCCCCCCCCCTCCAATAGACAGGACAGGGACGATTGACATGTCTCTGTAAGCAGAACAAGAGGAAGTTTCCCATATTTGTACTGTACATAGTAGAGCCACACTACCAACAATAAATAAAGCATCATTCTTATTGTCACACTGTCCTGTCTAACCCCCCCCACTCAGAGACTACTTTTTTGTTTGGCCCCCTTCATGCAGGCTTATGAGAACGGTGTGTTTATCTGCATTCCTTATACGGATGGTAATGATTCACTTTGCTAATTAGCTTTCCTTTTTTTTCTATGATTATGTTGCTGTGTCTTTCAATGTGTCCTTCAGTCTGCACAGCAGCGTCTCACTGTCCACCATCTGAAGTGTAGTGCAGCAGTGTGTGTGTGTACATATATACATATATGTCTGTATACATATGTATTTGAACGGATTTGCCAGTCCTGTAGTGTTTGTTGCATTATTGAATCTTAATTTTGGTGGCTAAAGACAACCTGAAGTTTGTAGCTCAACTTTTAACTCAACTCAAATAAATATTGTACTACCAAACTATATGAAATGTGAGGACCTGTCTGCAATTTCTGGTCAGGTGTATAGAAAACCTGTTAGAATTATTTATTCTACATTCTTTTGGCATATGTTTTGCCAATTACACAGGGTCTGTTTGCAAATGGTTGTAGGCATATATAAAATACAATGTTCTCTTGTTTTCATGATAAAGCCAAATGAATTCAATTTGAAAGGAACTCTTGGTGTAGTGTTTCCTGTATGAAAAATAATTTGAAACGGTGCTTTAATGTGTGGCTCTAAATCAGGGTCAGGTCACCACAACATGGCCAAGGATGTGTTCGTGTGGACATACATGAGAATCTTAAGCTCACAGTGGTCCAGCTTCTGAACACCAGCTTTTCTCTAAAGCATCATTCACAGCTACAGTCAAATATTGTACCTTCAACTACATTTTTATCAAAGGTTCAAGCTACTTCTATTTAGATTATGTATACAACATGTAAATCAAGTTAATGTGGTTAATAGACCCTCCAGAAAAACGCGATTCTGCGATCGCAGAATTTACCGCATAATCAGCAAAATGGCGCAGATTTTTAAAAGGCCGCATATTTATCAAAAAGCCGCATAATCCCCGCATTTTTCCACACAAAGTTGAGGGGAAAAAAAATTGACTCGTCTTGACGTGACGTCATCAGCTCGTGCATCACAGAATGTAAACAACACTGTATAGAGTGAACGTGTGGAGCTCACACGATAGAGAAAACACCAAGATGAAAAAATCTAATCCATCTCATTTACAGACGAACATTTCTACTAAAGACCGGGCAAAAAGTGGGGGGAAACTATTCTGCACACCGTGCAACTGTGTGTTGGAGCATAAGAGAAAATCGACGGTGACGACCCACTTTGATTCATTCAAACATTCGAAAATGCTTTCTGCTGCTGCGGACAAGAAAGCCAAACAACGTTCACCGAGGCATCAACCTCCAAAACCCTTTCGAGGGCTACAAGAAACGAAGTGAGTAGCCTACAAGATTGAAGCTGGTCAGATAACGAACGAGTAAATGAAAATGGAATGAGGCGGAGAAGTGTGTGCGTGTGTGTGTGTGTGTGAGAGATTAAAATAGCCCAATTGCTTTTACAATAAATAAACATTGAATGTGTTTAATTGAATAGTAAAGGGGTTTAACGTTAGTGGCAGGTTGTGTGTGAGAGAGAATAAATAAGACAGCCAAATATTTAAAAAAATTGTTATTCTTTTTCCTTCGCATATTTCGCACCTTTTCGCATATTTTCGCAACTTTCCGCAATTTCACCGCATAAAATCACATAAAAACCCCGCATGTTTAATCGCATAATCAAGGATTTTAGCCCGCATAATCAAGGATTTTTGTCCGCGTTTTTCTGGAGGGTCTAGGTTAAGGTACACAGCAGTATATGAAGTAATAAAAAAGGTCCACCTTATTAATAATTACTATCCAGGTTCAGATTTATATATGACGAACATTAAACAGATGAGCACTTCTTCCACCAGTGCATGGAACTTACCCAACAGAGATTCAGCTGCTGGAAGCAAAGCCTGAGATGATTGCAATAATTCCTGCACTGGAACAGACGTTTAGTGAAACAGGAACTACAATTTATGCTGACAAGGATGTTTTATCTTTACAAAGTTCTGAGGCAGGATTATGACTAGTGCTTGCAGCACAGCTTCCTTGATCCCTGGGGAAACGGCAGCTATTTTTCAGTAGTCACAGGAAGACATGTAAGATGGTAAGAAGTGGGGAAAGGCAACATTGTACAGAGAGAAAGAAACCTGTGTTAACTCAAGCCCTTCCTCGTCATGTTGTACAGTATGAGCTGTGCTTACAGGACATCATAGTGAAGTTTAGTCTGTTTACCTTTATTGACATATAGCAGCAGAATGAGCTGAGCTCAGAGGAAGATCCAGTTTAACATATGAAACAGTGCAACCCAGTCTCACGGCATTTCGTGTTCACCAACACGATTTTTAATCTATTGATTTGTGTTCACCAACACGATTTTCTCCTTTTTTTCGTGTTGCACAGCACGATTTTAAAAGCAATGTATTTCTGTTGGTAGTCTCACGGCATTACGTGTTATAGGAAGACCGGAAGCTGTGTGGTTCATAAAAACATGTTCTTACTCAATATCAAGCCACGATTATTGCTTTTATTTAAAATTGTATCATTTCGGACTTTTGTCTGTGAGGAAAATAAATGGGGCTCATTTTTCCTTCTAATTTGTTGTTCTTTTCAAAATAACACACTGTTATTTAGTCAATAATAACACACAATTATCCTTGTTTTTATTTATTTGTTTAATTCTATAATCTCGGGCTTTTTTGCCGTCCTTCAGGAACTGAATTTCAAAATAAAAATAACCGGAAACAGACGTAGGCCTATAAGGGACATTTCGAGCATCATCGAGTTTAGGATGGCCGAAGACACTAGACTACCCATAATCCCAAACTATCGTTTAGGACTACAGTCCCCGTGAATAAACTTCAAATCGGGATTGGATGTTGGAGTGGCAGTGCGCCAAGGTTACGGAATCGAAACTGGATCGAACGCCGCCCCCCCCCAACAATTAGAAGTTGCCAGTATTAAACACCAATTATTAACCAATTAAAATGAACCGATTAAACATCTCGCTGACACAGTTTAAACGCATTTCAAGTGGAAGAATTGTTCGTGTCTCCTCTTCGTGTCTCGGGAAGCTGGAAGCTGTATTATTTTCAAAAAATAAAAATAAAAAAATATTTTTTTTAACCATACATATAACCGTACTTTACACAACATTGAGTCAAACTTATCCTTGTTTTAATCCTTGTTTTATTTAAGTTAA